TAGTACAAGTCATCCAAGGTGCCACTGCTAGGGTCAGCTTACTACAGAGTCAATAAAGCAACGCATGCTTGTCATTGTGCAGGGCTTCCAAGAGTCACCTTCCAGGTTGTTCACTGTACAAGGCGTCCAGCTGAGGAAGAGGTGGAGATTAAAACCTAGCTCTTTCTTACTAGCCAACAATGAGATCTGTTGTCTACCCAGAGGGAGGAGACGGGCTTTTCTAGTCTAGAGAAAGGCATCATTTAGGTTGGCATTAGCTCCACAACTAACCACTTTGTGAAGATCTTTCAAGCAGGTATCTCATTTGCTGTTCTTGGCAACCACAGCAGTATGGAAAAGGGTGAACACACACCCAGGGAAGTTAAATGGCTGGCATGGGATCCCAAGGCAATGGAAATGGCTTTGGGAACCAGAATCCTTGCTCCTTTTTCCTCTCTCCATCTCACTGACCATGATCTCTGGAGACTATCTCCAGAGAGTCAGAGTCCACCTCCTTCATGATGGGACTAGCTCTGATTCTGATTGTTGCCTCCGTGGAGGATGGAGCTCAGGCGGTGCAGACAGTGGAGTATGCTAACGCAGCGGGTCCCTTGCCCTGCCACACATCTCACCGCAGCTAATGAATTGCTAATACAATTTTCTAGATAATTTTATTTCCATAGCCCCACATTTTAATGTGTTTCCAAAAGCTAGCATTTATTTGCTTAATCTCCCAGTGTAATAGAATCGGCCCTGACTCATCATACATGCAAACAATCAGCTAGGCAGAAACGACAGCAAATTGTTTAATAACTCACATCTAGTCTTTAGATTTTTAACTTGCACGCTCCAATGGTTTTTCTTGCGTCTCAGATACTCTTCAATCCTTCCCTGGTTTTCTTTTTCTTTCTTTTTTTTTTTAAAGTCCTTTTCATTGACCATGAATGTTTGGTTTTCAAGCAGAAGAGTGGGGAAGGTAGACACAGAACCTCTAAACCCTCTTTTCAACTCCCCCACCCTGAGTCGTGGTTGGTGGATAAGTGGCCAAGGAGGGATCTTGTGCTCATGTGAGGTCCCAGGCAGGAGAGAGAGAGACATCTGGGGCCACAATATTTCTTTTTAACTGATAATCATGTAACCTTAAATCTGTCAACAGTGTGCAGAGCTAGCCATTGGGGATTTTGTGGGTACCACTTTTCCCAAATAGAGCCCAGTTCCTATCAGGCCATTCTCTTCCTGTCCAGAAAACCTCTGGCCTCATCTGGTCCCCACCTTCCTTGTAGTAGCACAAAAGCTGTTAACCCCCTCTTTCTGCTTTCAGCCATGTGGGACCATCCACACCTTGGCTACCTAGAGAGACACTGCCCACCAGGCTGTTGGACACTTGTACCCGTCTTCAGTCAGTTTGAGTTGCTGTAACATGTCCCAAAGGCTGGGCAGTCTGAGATAGGGATTCCAGCATGGCTGGGTTCCCAGGAGGTCCCTCTTCCTAGTTGCAGACTGCAGACTTCTGACTGTGTCCTGTGTCCTAACTATGAAAATGGATCCTTTTTTTATAAGGGCACTAATCTTGTTGAGGAGGGCTCCACCTTTGTAATAAAAGACTTGGTAAAGCCCCCACCTGTTAATCACTGGGAGGATAATGATTTTAACATACTCATTTTTGGTGTGAGTGAGAGGACACCAACGTCTAGACCTTTGCCATCCTCTAGTCCTTCTATGGCCCTGCTTTGCCTGTAGGATGGCATCTGTACTGTTTTTCCTGGCACATGTGATGATCTGACCTCCCAGGTTTTCCTGGCTTCTCTCCATCCTCTGTTCTACCTGCTCTGAAATCCATCTGGAGTGTTTCCTTAGCCAGGGACGGGTATCTCATTTCCTACATTTGCTTCTCAGATGGACCCCATTTCTCAGAACAGAACTCAAAATCTCTTCTGAGGCTTTTGCAGAGTCACCCTTGTCTCACCCATGCTCTGGGTGGTATTTCTTGACCGGTGCCCTCCACCCCAGGCTTGATATCTAAAATTCTCTGCTCCATCTCAGCCTCTTGGTGATCACTTGGTAATGGGGTGAGACAGGTCAATGGACACAAATCAAGTTCAGGCCATTCTGTGAGATGGAGGTGACCCACTAGGGAAGCCTCCAAGCATCTTAGGAACAGCAAGGGGACAGAATGCCACAGGAGACTCAGTCTGCTCCTCTAGGTGGTGCCTTTCCGGGTGTCCTCCTGGAATGCCATTCATTCACCCTTGTTTTCTATACTGGGGATCTCAGAATAAGAGTAAGATGTCTTGGCTGGTAAAAGGCCCGGCTGTTCAAGAAGCCTGCTCCCTCAGGCTGATTTGAGGCAGCTGTTTGAACACCTGGCCTAATTGGGGCCTTCTGTGGGGTAGAGTCCAGGGTACAGAGGGTGCAGGTGCTGGGAACCCTCAGCTTAAAGAAGCTGGGACTGATGTGCTGTGTGTTAAAACGTGTTGTGGGTGGACTCTCCTTGTGTTTACCAGGCTTGCTTGGACACTGAAGGACTCCGTGTCAGTCCTCGAAGCTTCTGCCAGGCAGACTGCTTCTCTCAGCATGTCTTTTTCCATCGGATGGGGCTGAGGACTTAAGATCTCTCCCAGAGATCTCACTGGCTCCCTCCTGCTGTGCAAGTATGAGGACTTGCATTTGGATGCCCAGCACCCACATAACAGCTAGGCATGGCTGTGTGTGCCTGTAATCCCAACACAGGTAGTGGGGACAGGCCAATCCCATGATTCAATGGCCAGCTAGCCTAGCCAAAACTGTTCAATGAAAGATCCTATCTTGATGAAATAGATGGAGAGGCATCCTGATGTCAACCTATGGCCTCCAGCAGTGCCACACACACAATACTCTCTCTCTCTCTCTCTCTCTCTCTCTCTTTCTCTCTCTCTCTCAAAAAAAAATAAAGTAAAAATAAAGGGAGTCTGATCAGTGATTTCTGGAATCAAATAGACCAAGACATTTCTAGATTCCTGATTCTACCTCTTTGTCACTGTGTGACCTTAGGCAAGTTATTTCATCTCTGTTTTTCTCTTTGTAAGAAGGTAGCTATGAAAGCCCACCCTACAGGGATGCAAGTTTTAAATGAGATGACTGCACAGATAAAGCACCTAGCTAAAATGGCCTTTATTGTCTCTCCTTCCATTCTGTCCTCAGAGCTTTGGAGGACATTTTCTCCCCCCATGCAGCCCTCCTAGTTATTGGTAGTTGAAGCATGGCTGCAGGTACTTAGACTTCAGTGTCCACAGAGAGGGGCCATCAGGTAATTGTGAGAAGAGAGAGGATGGTGATGAGTGGTGGTCCCCACCTTTATTCCAAACTGAACCATGTATGATCCTGAGGAGGCAAGAACAAGCCCTCCCATTGGCCCTAGCTCTTTCCAGTCAGGGAAGCAGCAAGGCTCTTCATTGTCCCATCCCTTCCTCTCTCACCTGCCCCTGGAAGCTTCCTCATGTCCCCACAAAGCAGCCCAAATGCTCTGACACTCCCTCCATTTGGACTAGACTGACAGACCTGACCACCTTTTCTGTTTGTGTCCCTAACACGAGGGACAGCATTATGCTCCTGAGCACAGGCCATGCTGCCCAGACACTGGCAGAGAGACAAGCAGAAGGAGCTGATGTTCTTGGGGAGATGAGATCCAAAATGGCAGACAAGGAGCTATGAGCTGAGACTGAGCTGGAAGGCTGTAGGTCCAGTGTAACATCAGGAAGGGGTTAATGAACAGAAAATAGCAATCTGCCTTTGTGGGGTTCAGTGAGGCCCATGGGCTACTGGTCAACCAGCCGAGTGGGAGGGCAGAACTGAACAAATATCTCATGGGACTCATTAGTTTTAAATCCTTTGACAACTTCCCATTGGTCTTATGATGAAACTGGCATGGCTGGTCAGGACCCCACAAAATCTGGCTCCCGGCTCGTCTTTAACCTCTTCTCACCTTCTCCCTCTTTCCACAGTTAGGACTTGTCATCCCTACTCTACTTAGTTTTGGCTCCCCTAAGTGTTCACAGACTCCATTCCATCCTCTTGTATGTTCTCTTGGTGCACTGGGTGCTGAGTGGTATTGAGATTAGAGCAGGTATACCAGTATGCTTTTCCATCATCACAGCCCTCAAAGAGAGTCTTCCTTGTAGAAAGTATCACAGCACTATTTGTGGAATGAAGTGGCTCTCGAGATTCCTGATTACCTAAATGAGAAAGTGGTTAGAAGGATGTGTTCACCAGGCGATGGTGGGGCACACCTTTTGTCACAGCACTGGGGAGGCAGAGGCAGGAGGATTTGAGTTTGAGGTCTCCTGGTCTACAAAGCTAGTTCCAGGACAGCCAGGGCTACACAGAGAAACCTTGTCTTTAAAAAAGAGAAAGAAGAAGGAGGAATAGGGGGAGGAAAGAAAGAAGGAAGGAAAGAAGGAATGAACAAAGGGAGGGAGGAAGAAGGAAAGAAAGAAGAAAAAAAGAACGTTGTCTACAGCTAACCTCAGGAAATGAATGAATGAATGAATCCCTCCACTGCTCCCAACTGCAGATTCTTTGGAGATTGGAATGAGTTAGTCTACTGTGCTTCTCTCTCCTCAGATGAAGTTTGTGGTTTTTAGAGAGTTACATTAACAACAATGGCCAACCCGTATGATCCAGGTTATTGTTGGTTTTCACAGGTTCTACCTCATCTTCCCACCCCTGTCTCAGATACTATAAATTTCCTGTGATTACAGGCACCCAGTCACCCACCTTCTCCTACATTGGACTCAAGACACTTGTAGAAACATGTTTGGCCATCTGTGTGGTTTTGGGTCTTTCTCCACTAATCTTTAGGTCTCCTGGATGCTGGACACCTGTTGGCATTTTTCCCTCTGGAGCTATATTCAGGTTGCTCAGTCAACATTGCATGGCCTGTGCTAACCCTGGGTTTGACTTTGAATTTGATTTCACCTTCAGGGATGAAAATCTGGCCTTGGGTCTCTGCCTTACTGAGGTTTTCCCACTACTGTCTCCCACAGGCACAGACATGGCTGTCTTCTGTCTGCTGTGTGGGAAGCGCTTCCAGGCACAGAGCGCTCTCCAACAGCACATGGAGGTCCATGCAGGCGTGCGAAGCTATATCTGCAGTGAGTGCAAC